GCAGGAATGTGCTTCCTGGAGAAGGAGGCAGCACAGGATCACAGAATGGTTGAGGTGGGAAGGAACCTCTAGAGGACATATCCCACCTACTGCTCAAGCAGGGGAGCCTAGGCTGCTCAAGACCATGGCCAGATGGCTTTTGAGTATCTCCACACATGGAGACTCCACAACTTCCCTGGGCAACCTCTGCGAGCGCTCGGTCGCCCTCGCAGTAAAAACTGTTTCCTGATGCTCAGACAGAACCTCATGTGTTTCAGACAGTGCCTGTAGTCTCTGGTCCTGTCACTGGGGACTGCTGGAAAGAGTCTTGTCTCCATCCTCTTTGCACCCTCCCTTTGGGTGCTGATACACAATGATGAGGTCTCCCTGAGCCTTCTCTTCTTCCAGCTGAGTAGTCCCAGCTCTCTCAGCCTTTCATCGTAGAACAGATGCTCCAGTCCCTTCATCATCTTCATGGCCGTTGATGGGCTCTCTCTAGTATGTCCATGTCTCTCTTGTACTGGGAAGCACAGAAATGGACACAGTGCTACAAGTGTGACCTCACCAGTGCTGAGTAGAGGGGACCACCTCCCTCGACCTGCTGGCAACACTGTCCCTAATGCAGCCCAGGACATCAGTAGTCTATTTTGCTGCAAGGGCACATTGCTAGCTGTGCTGGTTTTAGTCAGGACAGAGTTAATTTTCTTCACAGTAGCTGGTATGAGGCTATGTTTTGAATTTGTGCTGAGTAGAGTAACACTGATGGTTTATAGTTGTTGCTAAAGAGCATTTGTACCAATTCAAGGACTTTTTCAGCTTGTGGTACTGCACATGTCTTCCCAACTTCTTTCGCCATGAGCAGCAGGGAAGGAACCCAGACTGACCAAAGGGTTATTTCATTCCACATAACATCATGCTCAGTATATAAACCGGGGATGGGCCAGGGGCCATGTGGGTTGGTTATTTTTCTTGGTGGTTCTCTCACTCGAGGGGCTTGTGCTGGCTCTGCTGCAGTTGCTCTCGGGCTCCAGCTCTTGGAATGTCTAGCTCTGACTCTTGCTACTCGGGACGTGGCTGTGCATTGGACCGCGGGTGGTGAGCAATTGTGTAATTTGTTTTATTTTCCATTATTTTCATTATACATTATTATTAGTGATAGTATTATTTTCATTACATATTATTAGTAGTATTGTTAGAATTACTAGTTTCATTAGTTGATTCATTTACAATCAATTATTACATTGTTCTTCTCTCAGCCCATGAGTTTCCTTGTCTTTTCCTCTAGTCTCCTCCACTGGAGGAGGGGGAGGTGAACGAGCAGTTGTGTGGTGCTTAGTTGCTGGCTGGGATTAAACCACAACACTAGCTCAAGTCCAACTTGGTGTCCACCAGGACCCTCACCAGCCTTCTCTGCAGAGCTGCTTCTCGGATGGTCAGCCCCCGGCATATACTGGTGCCTGGGGTTGTTCCTCTCCAGGGGCAGGACTTTGTAATTCTCCTTGTGTAACTTCATGAAGTTCCTGGCAGACCATTTCTCCAGCCTGTTGAGGTCCTTCACTTGGTGCTTCTCCCTTGTGCTCCTCTCTTTTGGTAGCTGTTCACATCTGTACCCACTCAGGCTGTTTAGAAACTTCAGCAGGTCACCAAAATTTCCTCATTCTAACAGGGACTATTGAATTATTGAAGTCAACAAGCTGTTGCAATATAATGTGTATGTTGACAGCCCGATTCTTACTGTCATGTCAAATTTGACATTAGCAGTATGGCTCTTCAAACTGATTGTGCAAAAACCTGTTGAGAATCTACCACATATTGTTGCATCTTTTCTGTCTCAGATGTCAACTGTTGCCAGAGCTTTGCCAATGTTTGTCTAGTGAGGTAGTTCCTTTTAGTGCTTACTGTGATACTAGCTTTTTAAAAGCTCAGTAAATAATGACATTGATATGGAATAGGATATTTTGGATAAAATGGTCAAATGTAAAAAAAGAGATTGGTATTATTAAAAGCTGCTTAAAGTCCTTTGTAAAGTCCCAGGCCAAGGCCACATAGGCCAGTAATACTCATTAACCAGAGTTCTGTTCGAAGAATAAGGTCCTTGACTAGGTACTGGTTTGGGGCTGGCCAGAGGGGACAGTTTATTGCCCTGTTGCTCAAGGATACACTGTGAAGGGGCCTTGAAGCATGTTAAAATTGCAGTGTGAGCCAAGGTCCTTGAGTAAAGGACATTGAGGGGTCTTTCTTGTCATCAGTGGTCCATGGTGGTCATAAAAGCAGCCCTTCAACTCAATTTAAAGACAAAATGCGCATGACCAGAAAAGGGTGGGATTCAGAAAATTAATTACGGGAATTGATATGACTGTGTATGAGAATCTATTTACTATGCATCATTATATTCTGTATCACCAGCACACTACATGAGTTAGGGGTGTGTTGTTGCTGAGACGACTCCCCTCCGCACCCAGCCCTACGAAAGAATGCCAGCTTCTTAATACTGCATTAATGTTAAGGAAGTTCTTTTATTCCCAGTTTTTGGTGACAACAAGATAATGTCATATTTTTCCAAGGGGGAAAAAAAACCCAACAGACATTTCACTGTGACTTTTCTACAATTATATCAGCTTTCTGCTTTTCTGTAATAAATGGCTTTTTCTGATGTTAGAGTCTCTAGTATTTGTGGTTGCCAGCGTTCCAGATCTGAAAATGTGAGATCCTTGCAATACTTGCAGGACCACCAAGGAATTTCCACTGCATCCAATGGTCTGAGGAGGAGAAAGATCTAAATTCTACCAGGTTTTATACTTCAGGCTGTTAGTGTGCCAGTGTGAGGTTAGCACTGCAGCACACTTAATACGCCCTCCTGCAGTATTTAAACTTGCTTTGACCGTAACACTCCCGGAGTAGCAGTGGGGAAGCTATTCCCAGCCCAGCATCCCAGGAGTGGTACTGGAGGAGAGCAGGCTGTGCAGGGGCACCCATCAGGAGGAGGGTGCCAGCTGACAGAGCTGGGGTGCAGAGCTGGTAGGCACACCGGCCTTGTGGGCAGTGACACCAGCAAAGACTGCGGGGTGACCAGGTTGCTGGCTGGGGGCTGAATCCCTCTCGGGACTAGCTCCAGGGAAGGGACCCGAGATGCTAAGATGCTGGCTGAGGAGATGGTGTGCAAGGAAGAAGGATACAGGTTCCCAGGGAGCAAAGAGGTTGTGCCATACGGTATGTGGATCCCCAGCATGTTTTCGGGAGACCCCTCACCAGAGAAAGGCAGGGCAGGAAAGGGCCGGGGGGTGCAGCAGAACCGGTGGCACGGGGCGACTGGCAGCAAAATGGCCGCTGCGGGGTGGGGGGCTGGGGGGCAGGAGAAAAGGTGGGGAGAAGGGGCTGCCACCTTGGCCTGCTCATGGACAGGCTCGTTGCCACTCGGGAGTGAGATCCCGGCGTGAGGGTGGTGGTGCTCTCCAGGAAGATGACCTTTCCCTGGCAGCCAAACAGTCAGATGTTGGGGAATATTAGGAAAAGGGTTGGGAATAAAACAGGCGAAGGGGCAGGTTCACCGTCAGCTCCTCACAGGGCCCGGAATCCGTGCAGGGAGTGCTGGAGCCACTGCAGCGCATCCCTTCCCCCCAGCACCACCAGCGGGCTTTTGGGGGGGGGGCATTGCCCTGGGGTGCCTCATGCAGGCACCTCCCCCGACAGAGGCCGGGGAGACCCCCCAGG